TGGTGGAACCACTGAGACTATGGCCCCTAGCTGCCCTTCAGGTCTGGAATTGAACCCACACCTGTGGCTTCCAACCAAGCAAAAGACAGACATAGGAGTTGAACATTTACCTGAGGTAGATACACCTCTTGGAGAGAACAATCATGGGAGAAAGAATGGCAGCTTATGCACCGGGAGACAGCTCAGGGGGCAAGAGGAATGGACACAGGGAAGAGTTAATTATCGGGAGGAAGTGGGAAGGGAGTTGTTGCATTGTGGTAAATTGTGGTCAATGTCTTAAGACAAAGTGTATGTGAACTGCTGAATGGAAAGTGAATTTGCTCTGTAAATCTTCACCCAGATCACAATAAAAAATAAATTAAAAACTTTCACCCAAATCACAATAAAAATTTTTAAAAAATAAGGTTAACTCTTTCACAGACAGCGTATTGCTAGACTCAGGCCAGCATGGATAAAAAGCCTTTTACCTATTTTTTTTGCCTTTTAATTGGAATGATTAGAATGTTTACATGTAATTGTTGATGTAGCTGGGTTAACATTTTGGTATGTTTTCTATTTAATGGGAATTTTCAGTTTTTTTATTTAAGTGGGAAATTTGGTTTTTATTTTTCTTCTTTTTCTTTTCCTACGTTCTTTTGTATTAATTTACTATTTGTTAAAAATTCCATTTTAATTTACTTGTTTCCTTTCAGCTCTGTGTCTTTGCATTACTTAATGGTTCCTCTTCTGATATGATACATGTCCTTAACATTTTACAATTTGCTTTTTGTTAGTATTGTTCCACTTATAAAATCTAAGAATCTTCTGACAGTGAACCTCCTTCATGAATAGGTTTTTTTTTTTTTTAATTTTTATTGTTGTTTAGGTGAAAGTTTACACAGCAAATTCATTTTCCATATAGCAGTTCATACACATTTTACTTTATGACATTGTCTGCAATTCCCGACAGTGTAACAGTTCTCTTCCCACTTCCTCCCAGTAGTTATCTCTTCCTTGTGTCCTTCTTTCCTGTGAGTTCCTGCCGCTTGAGCTATCTCCCTGTGCAAATATTGCCCCTCTGTTCTCTCATGATTGATCGTTCTAAGGAGTATATATACATGATAGAAATATTCACCCTATATGCCTATCTGTTGTTTGGCTGGAAGCCCCGGGGGTGAGTTCAATTTCAGACCTGTCCTTCATGGTAATTTATGTTATATTTGTCATTTACATCTAGATAAGCTATGAAACCACAGTACATGATTTTTGTATATGCGGTGATATATATACGATACATATTTTAAATAAATAAATAAAGAGAAAATACATATTTGCTCACACATTCTTGGAGTTTTGATCCAGTGTGATTTCCCTTTAGCCTGAAGAATTTATACAGTGGGATTATGACAACAGATTCTCTTAGTTCTTTTATCTGAAAACTTCTTTATTTTGTCTTTGTTTTCTTGATGTATAATTTATGTATAATAAACTGCATTTGAAGTTTTCAGATTGTTTTAGCTAGCAGTCAGCTATCCTGAACTCAGACTTTAAATTGTGTCCTCAGTGGTGGGCAGCAGCTGAAAAATCTAGTCTTAATTGGCTACTTGGTGTTTGCCTTACACATGTATAGTTTACAGATTAGCCAGAGGTTTGAGCAATATATATGCAGAATTTGAGATTTCCTCTTGATTTTGTAGCTACTGTCATTATCCCATACTGTCTTCTGATTGCTCATGTAATAGGTTTGCAGATTTCTCTCTGAATTTCAACTACTCACTGACACCAGTTGACGCGAATTCGTACAGAAAACAAAAAACTCACTCAGAGCCATTCAGTTTTTCAAAGTTAGTTTCTGTTTGTTTTTATTGGTCTCCAGTGCTTTCATATACTTGGTGGTTGTGTGTGGTTTTTTTTGTTTTTTTTTTTTAATTTTATCCAGTTTATAATTGTTATCTGCCAGACAGTTGGTCAGATACAAGCTATTCCACTATTGGCTGAAGCGAAACTCTTTATTTGCTCTTAATCTAGGTCATTTCTGACATGGGGTTTGGCTTTGCTATAGTGGGTTTATAATCCAAGTTCACCAGATTGATTCAGTACTAATGTTTATTAAATAATTGGTTTCCATGTCACGGGCCATATAGAACTTTACATTTCTTATTAATACCAAAACTGATACAGACTAATTTTTTTCTATTTTGGTTCTCAAATACATGCACGTGACTGGTTGATGCTGCAGCTAGGATTTAAATTCTGTTAAGTGTTCTTGACTCTAGAGAGTCCACATCAGTAGCACTAGTGGGTGCTACCTTCTTCACGTTTTACATTTACCTGTAAGTACATCCATTCTTCCAGAAAATAACTAGAAATGAAAAAATGACATTAAAGACAAAACACATAATTATAAAAAATGTTGTGTTTTAGGAAATGGAAGTACCAGTATTACCGAAAATCTCTCTACCAATCACCAGTTCTTCACTGCCTACCTTCAGTTTTAGCTCCTCTATAATCACAACTTCTCCATCACCCATCAGTCCTTCACAATCATTAACAAATAAGGTAAAAAACCATTGTAAATAGAAATGATGTTTGTCCTTTCCTGTTCCTTGTTTTAAAAACTTTGAATACTTTATTTAAAGCATAGTGATTCTTTTCACTATGGAAATTAGTAACTAGTAAGAAGAGAGAAATTGAAATAGTGTTTTTATTTTCTTATTTAATGTACAAATAACTTGGACACATGATAGTGGAAGTATTCTTTTTTAATTCTTATCCAGTGCACTAAAGAATTTGTTTCCAAATAACGTTTTCAGTAAGATACTTTTTAGGTAAGAGTGAACTTAACGCTTGTAACTTCTCAGGTAGAATTAACATCTTTAATCTGCTCTTGAAATTTATATGCTTTCTTCCTGGGTTTTACTTTCTTTGAGCTATTCTTCAAGATGTTATTTTCCATCTTTAGACAAATGGCTGTCTTTAAGATAGTGATGTTCCTCTTCAAAGAGTTAGCTAGATTTTATACCAGTTTCTGTTCAGTATATTTTAAATCTAAACGGAAAAAGAATACTTGGGTTTCTTTGGAATAATTAATTTGCTTAAGGTCAATTTTATTGTCAATTTTTTTTCTAAATAGCTCTTTCTGTGTCATTTCTTAATAATTTGGAAAACCAGGTACAAATGACCTCTCCAAGCAGTACTGGCAGTCCCATGTTTAGATTTTCATCTCCAATTGTAAAATCTACTGAGGCAGATGTACTACCTCCAGCATCTGTAAGTAGCAGTAAAGGAATATTTCTTGTTCAGTGACAGGATTTCAAAGTTATATTGTAATTATATTAAGTTTAAGTTGTCATTAACAGTGAGAAACACCATTGTTTTTCTTACTTTTTGAAAGAGAATTTAATTTATGGAACTTGTGAATAAACGAACCCCTGTATAATCTTTAGGATGTACGTATACATAACACTTATGCATATGCATTTTCTCTTGTGCTATTTGAAAATGAAACGGAAACATCATGATACCCTTAATTGTTGCTGCTGTTGTTGTTTGCTGTCGAGTCGGCCCCGACTCATAGCGACCCCTCCTTGGGTTTCCGAGGCAGTATCACTACGGAAGTAGGATTGCCCAACCTTCCTTCCG